CTCTTCTGCCCATATTTTAACTGGTTTATTTGTTTAAAATTTTGTTTTGCTTTTGATAGCTGTAAGTCTTGAAGTAATCTATAGTAAAGTTTCTTATTTTATTCCTGCAAATCAAAATTCTGTATGTCAACATGTTATATGCAGGAAGATTGCTTGAGTTAGAGTTTTCAGCGTTTTGATATGTATCATTATGAATTCTGTATCATGTATTGTTGATCTTCTCGCATTAGAAAATGAAGCTACTGGGGGCGCCTGGGAGGCTCAGTCAGTTACGTGTCTGACTTCAGCTCAGGTCATGATCTCACAGCTCATGAGTTTGAGCCCCACATGGGGCTCTGTGCTGACAGCTCAGAGCCTGGAGCCTGCTTCAAATTCTATGTCTCCCTCTTTCTCTGCCTCTCCCCCACTCCCCCTCTCTCAAAAATGAGTTAAAACATTTTAAAAATTAAAAAAATAAATTTAAAAAAGAAAAAAAAAAGAAAATGAAGCTATCGGCCGTGTTTATCCATATGTGTATGCAAGTAGATAGGAAAGACTGGTGCACTTCCCAAACAGGCTTCCTTCTATATCTTATGAGAAAATTCTGACCTTTGATTTTTTTTTTTTAAATTACCATTGCTGTTGCTGCTACTGCTGTATATATTGAGCACTTAGTATGTGTGAGGCATTGTTTTAGGTATTTTAGTTACATTAGCACATTCAACTCTCATAATCTGCTGAACATGTACTGTTACCATCCCCAAGTTAACAGAGGAGGAAACATGTACAAGGAGGTTAAGTAACTTCCTGGTGACAGAGCTAACAAATAGCAGTACCAGACCCTTTATTGTTTGGTTCCAGAACTCACGCTTCTACAGTACTGCCTCCCAGTGGTCTATTACACCGGCCCTGCTGTGATAGCATGCTGTGTATTGTTTAGTCCCTCATCAGGAAAATGGAAAATTTGTACAACTGGAGAGGATAAATAATTGCATAAAATATGCTATTATAATTATAGTGTGGATTTCAATAAACTTCTCTTGACTTACAAAATTTGACATCGGGAATTGATTTCATCTGAAACTTCAATAGTATGAAATTTCTATTGGATATTAGAGAAAGACGGTGATTAACTCGTACATTCAACTCAGATGCTGATAGGGGAATAGGTGTGTAGACCACCCAGCAGCAGTCCCAGAGAGAATGGGGGAAGGGGTGCAGGACACAGTGGGAGTTGCAAGAAGTACAATGTGATCTTCAGTGCCAGTCATTCAGAGAGCCGATGTCAGTTCGTGTGTGTTCACCTGGTAAGCTTAAAATGACCGTGTATGATGTGGGGGTTAGTTTGTGCATTTAGGAAACCATTTTGTTTAGGAAGTAAACATTAGAAGCTGTCATACTTATCTAGACAATCAGAATTGTTTATATCAGCAAAACAGTTTTCAAGGAAACATGACCTGACTCTGCATCCGATGTTAGAGATCATGGAAACCTTATATTTCTTGCAAAATGTTTCAATTGAAGAAAGCCAGAGTAAGTTTAGTACAAGCTCCGATTGACTTTAGTACGTATGAGCATATCAGGATTATATGGAAAAAATCCTCCATGTAATTAAGTGAATTCACTGAATATCTTACAAACCCTTGAACACATTGAATTTTAAGACCATCATCATTCATAGCAGTAGTAACAACCATCACAATGAACACAACTACTCATATTTATTGGGAATCCAGAAAGTGCTTTCTGTGCATTATCTTATTTAATTAACCCTCACAACAACCTTGTGAGGTAGTCACCATGGTTACCTCTGTCTCACAGATGAGAAAATGGATAAAAACAAGGAATTACGTGCACTAGGTTATACAACTAGCAAGCGTTATTCATCCACTTAGTCAGCATTTATTGAGTATACCTCCCAGGGGGCCTGGCTCTGTTCTAAGTAGTGGGGATTTGGGGCGCCTGGGTGGCTTAGTCGGTTAAGCGTCCAACTTTCGCTTAGGTCATGATCTCGCGGTTCGTGGGTTCGAGCCCCGCGTCGGGCTCTGTGCTGACTGCCAGCTCAGAGCCTGGAGCCTGTTTCAGTCTGTGACTCCCTCTCACTCTGACCCTCCCCTGCTCACACTGTCTCTCTCTCTCTCTCTCTCTCTCTCTCTCCTAGAAATAAATAAAACATTAAAAAAAAATTTTTAAGTAGTGGGGATTTTGCAATGGATAAAACAAAACCCCTACTTTCATAGAAGGACTTCCCTTCTGTGAGATAGACAATAAACAGATAAAAATGGACGCCTGTGATCAGTCAGATGGTAATAAAGATTACATAGGACAGGAAAGCCCAGGAAGGGAGAAAACAAATACTAGGATAGGTGCTGGGATAGGTGCAGTTGTTACTTTTTTATGTGTGTTTTAGTAAGGGGGCCTCTGATAAGGCGACATTTTGGCAGACACTGGAAGAGAAAGAGGGGTATGTGCAAGAGGAAGAGCATTCCTGGCAACGGCAGAGAAGAGGTCCATGAGCTTGGACTGCCTGAGGAAGATCCAAGAGGCTGTGTGGCTCTTGGCCAGGTGGGTGAAGGGGAGAACAATCAGAGTTTGAACCCAGGTTTGATTGGACCCCAGAGCCCACATTTTAACCACTACACTAATCCAAGGGGGTAGCCACAGCCTCACATGACCTAGTGTGATTTTGGAGGCACTCTGTGTACACACTCCCAAAGAGGAAGGCAGTGATATTCTACTCTAGAAGTTATGTGTGGTGTTGAGAATATGTGGGAAATCCCTGTGGTTTGGGGAAAGGTCCTTCGGAGAACAAAAGTAGGGAGCAACTGTAGACCATAAATTTGGGAAACCGGGAGTATCCCTCCCCTGCTCAGAATACGTCAGTGGTTCTCTATTGCCTTTAGAGTTTTGGAGAAATGGTGTGGCTTTCCCAAAGCCCCATAGGAAATAGACCTAGTTTTAAATGATGATAAAGACTGTTTTCATTACTGCTAAGCTATTCTGCACTTTTCAGCATGTGAAATGGATTGCATACTCCATGGCTCCCTGTCACCTACCAAAAGATAAGCCTTGGCAGTGAACTCAGCGCCCTTGTAGAGTAGCCCTTCCTTCCCCTTTGCTCTTACGTCTACTGCCCCTCCTCTTGCATCTTAGCACAGAGCCAAACAATACTCTTTAGTGTGATGTACAGGGGACTTTGTACTGAAATGAAATGCCTGTAATATCCTTCTTCCCCTTGTTTTCTTGTTTTGTGATGAAGATTTTATATCTCCCTCTAAGACTTTACTGTTTTCCTTCCCAGACTGAGTTACAACTTCTTGCCTTGGTTGCTTTCAGAGCTTATGTATCTCTGTACTTGCTTATCATTTCTATTGGAAATCATTCTTTGAGCCCCTGTCCTCCTACCCAGGATTAGAGCCTTTGCTCGGTGCTACCAGGAAACTCTATGGAAGCATGGATCTGCCTCTTATCACATATTGGGAGGGGGTAATATTTTTATGTAAATATCTGCTTCTTCTTTCAGGCTCTTAAGTCATTGAAAACTTGTGCCTCCTTTTTATCTGTATTGCAACCACTGAGAAGAGCACTTGGCATATAGTTTACAGGCTCATTTAAATTAAACTTAGAGTATTAAGTGGCACCTGGGTGGCTCAGTTGGTTAAGCGCCAACTTCAGCTCAGGTCATGATCTCACAGTTCGTGAGTTCGAGCCCCGAGTCGGGCTCTGTGCTGACAGCTCAGAGTCTGGGGCCTGCTTCAGATTCTGTGTCTCCCTCTCTCACTGCCCCTCCCCCGCTCACACTCTGTCTCTCTCTCTCTCAAAAATAAACATTTAAAAAAATTTAAACTTAGACTATTAGATGCTGAGTTATAATGATGACAGTTTTGATCAGAGCAAAACAAGGAGAATACGTGGCACAGTGATGTTGGTTCACTCAGAAAAAATAGATGGTAATAAAAACAGTACTATTTAATGAAAGATCATTGTGTGCCAGGTATTAAAGTCAGTGCTGAAACACATCATTCCATTATTCCAAATGAAATTCAAACTTGAAAGATATACCCTATTAGGTAGGCATAACTTTAAAGCTAAATTAATGTCATAAAACCAAACTATAAAAAATACATTCATCTTCAAACTATTGCTAACTGGATCGTAGGAGGGGTTAGTGGGGCTGTAAGTGGAGGAAAAATGCCCTTAGAAAGGGACAGAAGTCATCTTTGTTTTTTTCTTTATACTCCATTTGTAGAATGTTACTACAAATGTGTATACTTGGCTACATGCAGAGGTCTTCCGGAAAGAACACTGTACTCATTTATAATTTGGACGTGGCATGGTGGGTGAGACAGAGGGCTGTTGGAAAAGTGAGCCCAGATGAGACCCTGCATAATGCAGTGCTTCATGCTGTATCAACGGGTAATTGTGAGGGAGGCCAAAGTACCATCCTTACAACCTGAGGCCCAAAGTGGGCTACTTAAGGCCGTGGTTACTTAGCCTAATTCCTAATTTTTATTCAGTAGAAAACCCATTCATTAGGAATTCTATTGAGTAGTTTTTGAACAGGATTTCTCATTGCTGATTGCTTTGTGCTTCCCTGACAAGTATGCTATCTCAAACTGACATGCTTTTAACCACTGAGAAATCATTTTTAGACATGTCTTTAACTTTGGCTTACAGATCATGTCTATGTTACTCTAGCAATGTTGAATTACACTCTGAACTATTTTTAAACGCAGATCTCAATTTATCATACGTTTTTCTCACACTTCTCAGCACAATGTAGCTTTTCTTCCCCCTCTATGTTTTGGGGGGGTGTGATTTTATTATCTCCTCATTTCTCAATATTTTGTGCTGATTAAAATGGATTAAGTATGCTTTATTTAATCTTAATACTTAGAGCCTAGCAGTCAGAAAGACTATATTAGTGCTCAGAAGAGATATTTAAGAAGTTATTTTGCTTTCAACTCTTTTCATTATCCAGCAGAAATTTATTCTAAAGCTCTTTTGTGGTTGTATTGCAGTGACTCGGCAGCCAAAGCCCTGTGGGAAGCCTTACTGAGCACCAGGCACAAAGAGGCAGTGATGGAAGTCCGGAGACATCTAGTGGAAGCAGCGAGCAGAGAAAACCTGCCAATCAAGATGAGTGTGGGTAAGCGCATCCTCTTCTCTGAGGACAGACAGGGACCACAGGCTCCAGGACGTTGATTGAATGAACTGTGGGCCAACCTAGCTGGCATAGCATCCCGGTGAAAGCATTCGAGATATCTGTAAACTGTTGTAAGAATAGGTCAGGAGTATGGATGCACTGCCCTTGGGGCTCCGCAACGACCCCCCTGTTTTAGACTCAACTTTGGGAACTCCTTGCTTACCAAGAGTAATTCTTTTAGTTTCTTTCCTTGATCTGGAGCTATCAAAATTGGTCTGGACCATCTTCTCTTCATTCCATTCCAATCTTCCTCCTCCCCTTCCTCCCAACCCCCGTATTGTGGATGAAGGAAGGCTCTTTTATTGGTTTTTAATTAATGAGCAAACTAGGTGCTGACCAAACAGTTGAGCGGGTAGATACGTTCCAGCCTGGCCCTTCCCCCTTAGTGTAGCCCGGGGGGGAGTCAGTCACACGAGTGTTGTGCCTGTTGTGCCGTCTTCAACCAGGGGGCTCCATGCTTCGTGTTTCTCGTTTCTCATTTCTCTTCACATTCAGCTCTGTCTTCAGTCTCAGAAGAATCTGGCTGCAATAGAATTGTTTTTTCTTTTTCTAATATTTATTTTTGACAGAGAGAAAGCACAAGCAGGGAAGGGACAGAGAGAGGGAGACAGAAGATCCGAAGCTTCGCTCACTGACACCACTGAGCCAGATGAGGGGCTCAAACTCATGAACTGTGAGATCCTGACCTTAGCCAAAGTCGGGCACTCGACCCACTGAGCCACCCAGGTGCCCAAATTTGGATTTTAAATGTTTTTTTTCCTTTTGATTAAAAAGTCAGTGAACTTGTGTTTTGATTGATTTTAGAAAATGAATTTGATGTTTTACTTATTTTTTAAATTAAGTAATTTTATTAATATGGAAATATTTAAAATGGATATTGAACCTGGTTAATAGGTAGAACTTAATTCTGGAAACTTGCCTAAGTTTCTTTCCCTGTTTTTAAAAATAATTGTTTTCTTGGGGCACGTGCGTGGCTCAGTTGGTTAAATTTCCGGCTTCAACTCAGGTTATGATCTCACGGTTCTTGAGTTGAAGCCCCACGTTGGGCTCTTTACTAACAGCTCAGAGTCTGGAGCCTGCTTCAGATTCTGTTTCTCTCTCTCTCTACCCCCTCCCCCACTCACACTCTGTCTCTCTCAAAAATAAGGAAACATTTTTTAAAAATTAAAAAATAAAGTTTTTTTCTTATAATCTGCTTTTAGGTATTCAGTTAATATTAGTACATCTTACTGGATGGGAACATTTTTCTTCGCTGAGATTCATAGTTCAAGTTCTTGATTATTTATGAGTATGAAAATCAAACTAACAAGTTGAAATAGAAGAACAAAATTTTGAAAGTGAAAGAATGTGGATGAATCGAAAAGGAAAAAAGGTCCAGGTTCATAGTAAGGAAAAAAAAATCATGATTTTGAGTGTGTTAGGCAACTCTATATGAGGGCTTTTTGGAACATAATGATGATAGAAAAATGAAGGTAACTAATGCTTTTTGAGTCAGTTTATTTATTTATTTTTTTATCTTATTCCATGTGTTAATCTTATTTAATCCTCACTGTAATTCTGCGAGATGGGGAATATCATTATCCCATTTTTCAGATGAGGAAACTGGCATAGAAAAAAACTAAGTTGCTTAAGGCCATATATCTGATAAGGAATAGGACTAGAATTCATATCAGGTATTTTTAGGTGAGAGGATATGTTTTTCATTTATAAAATCATCCTATTTTCATATAACCAAAGCCAGAGGTCTACATGGTATTTTGGAATAGCAAGGAAGTGCTACTTTGACGTTATCCTTGAATTTTACTATTAATTTTCCTTCCTCCTTCTTTCTGCTTCCTTCGTTCCTTCCTCCCTTCCTCCCTTCATCTCTTTCTCTCTCTCTCTTTCTTTCCATAGTTCTAGATATGCGTTAATAACAAGTGTGTTTACTTTATGTTGTTCCTTATCCATGAGCATGCTGAAACAAGAACAAATTCATATTGTGAATCAAGAAAAATAGAATTGCGCAAAGGTCTTGGTGATAAGGTTCATTTATATTACAGTTCAGTGACGTAACCTTACAATGCTGTCACAGAGCATAAATCAATTTTTATTACTCAATATAGGAAGGACTCTTGGAAGATCAGCATACTTTAGTTGTCGAAAGCACTGTATCTTTTCAAAATAAAGACAGAAATAAGTTTTTTAAAAAGACAAGTAACCCCATAAGGAATTAAAATATAAATGTCTGAAGTTTTGGTTGACCAAAAAACTAAAACAAACAAACAAAAAACCCACAAAAGAACACCCAGAGCCTCAGATTAAATGATTTGCATTGTCCCCAAATTACAGAAATAAATAAGGTAAGAAACATAAAATTGTTAGGCAAATTTTAGTTGTAAGAAGGACCGAAAAGATTGGCCCAAACCACACTTTATCCATATCTATATAACCTTGGTAAAAGCCTAACAGGGAGACTCCCCATTTCTGCTCCATATCAACTAGTCAGAATTTGTGCTGAGTCTTATTTCCATACACCAATAGCTATATAACCATGAACAGTAAGGAAAAGGTCTGGAGCTGAAACATAATAAAACACTGGTATTTGAAAATTCCTTATCATACAGCTTATCATAAAAACAAATCAGGCCCTGGTGTCTTCGATGGCTGGAATGCTTTTTCCATCAGCACTTGAAACTATGAAGTGTGCTTTACACTACGCACTCTTCTCCCAACCCCTACTGTCATTTCTACCGAAGTATCTATTTTTGTGTGACAGAGAGCTCTAGTACTTTGGAGACATTAAACAGAAATTTTAATTCTAGATTGAGGATTTCTCTTGTATTTAAATTCACTGAGAGGGACCCTATGATTGGACAAGATTGGGTGCATTCAGGGTGGTATGGCCGTAGACAGAGGGACCGTATGATTGAAACCTCAGATCTTAAATATAAAATTTCTCAGTGCAAGTTAAGTGCATATTAAAACATTATAAAGCACCAAGAGAAATAAACGTCTTTCCGTTAAAGGAAAAAAAGTTGAATTGCTAAACCGAAGAAAAAATTCATTTTATCATTTCACATAAAAACATAGGCCATCTTTCCAAGATCTTATTAAGTTGTCAGCTAAATAAATGTGTTCTAGAAAAGTGATTTTTGAAACATTGTGGAACTGAATTGCGTTTTCAAAATGAAAAATGTATCCTGAAAGTACAGAAGACATAGACTCTAAGAAACCCATTTGTTTGGGCCCCAAATGTCCATTTCCAGGAGAAATGAACAAAACAACGGCTGTCTCAGTTTCTACATTTTACATTTTACACAGAGACTCTGTTTCTCCGGAATACGTCTGTGGTTGGAGGACCTTCGCCAGTTTGCACTCTTGCGTTCTGCAGAGTGGATGTGCTCCCCAATGGCTGATGGGTGGCAGGAAGATCACACTGGAGCTGGAAGAAAACAGATCTCTAGAACATTCTTCTTTCTTTTGCAGTTAGGTTTCTAACTGCAAAGTATTTGTCTGACTGAGAAAGTATTTCAACACTTGATGCCTCTTGTTTTTTTCACTGTTTTCTTGTTTATTAATGTAGTGCAGGCTGACTTCTGACACTTTTTTTGCTGGAAAGTTTCCCCGACCACTAACCATAAGGTTTCTCAGTCCTTATTCTGCTGGACTTCTTCGCAGCATCACTGCTAGACTCGCCGCTACCTTGTGCATACGTGTATTCTGGGATTGTGATGGGGTGCGAAGTCAGTTGTCTCGTTCTGCCACCGAAGAGCCACATTTCAACTTCTGTAGCCATAAACGTAGGGAAAATATCGATTTCCTAAACTATTGAAGGAGGAAGAAAGCTGTGAGCAGAGGGAAGGTTCTGACTGAAGCAGACTGGAATTGGTATGCCGTGTGCCTCAGCCGTAGAAGCTGAAGGCTGGGCAAGGGAATCTACACGGGAAACCCAATAGAAGAAGGTTGTTTGATGAGAGGGAAATCAAAGCCAACAAATCCAGTTAGGTGACTTCCCTGTTCTTTCTGGGAAATATGCTTACTCATTCTTTCCAGTTCACTTGTCCTTGTATCTGGGACTTCCAAGCTTCTGTGGTCACTTTTATAGAAAAATCTCTTGAGCTACATTTCCAGATAACAGTGGTCCATTATATTGAGATACTTTTTCATTTCCTATCCTGGTTTTGAGGCTCAGTAATTTCTGCTCCATATACTCATTATTAAATAGGATGAGTTCTTTGAACCATTTGTGAAAAGACAAGCCTCTCCCACCTTTACCAGGGTAATTGCCTCTGGTTCCGAGCCACAGACAGAGCCCTGCTTTGTTAACTGGTTTGTTAATGTCCCTCCTACAATGTGATGTTCAGAGCCGAACAAAGATGTCTGGGTCTTCACCTGTTTGGACCCTACCCTTCTCCCAATGAAGCTCCAAATGAGATTAGTGACTTTTGTTTCCCACCAATGCCTTAGTATCATCTCCTCTTTTACCACGTCATAAAACTAACAATAGCAACAGATTGAAACACTCTAAAATTTTGCTCAGTAGATATTTTTTTCACCATCATTGAGAAGAATACTCTGCTTCCTTCATTGGTACCTGAGTTCATCCAGTTCTGACTGGATAACAACTATGTTTTGATCACATTTGTATCTTTTATGTATAGATACATACAGCATACACAGCTCTGTGTGTGTGTGTGTGTTTATGCGTATGTGTATATGTGTGTGTGTGTGTGTGTGTGTGTGTGAAATGGGTGGAGAAATTGTCAAACCGCACGAAGGATAGGTTAAAACCCCGATAAGACCCTCATACTGTGTGATATATGGTAATTTATAAAAGATGAAAAAATCTGGATGCCTCATGGGACACATAAGCTGATGATTAACTCACACGCATCCTTGTCTTCAGATAGAAGCTGTTACCACAATTTGGGGAATGAGGAAGCGAGTTGGTTTTTATTGAA